AGATATGTACATACACAAAGTGATTCATAGATTTATTTATATATCACATTTTAGAGATTATTTTAAGAATTGTGCTTGTCTCTCTTATTTTTAAATAAATTTAAAATATGAATGATGTTATATTTAATTGTTACATGATTCTCGTATCAGAAAAATAATAAGAAGAAGGAAAAAAAATATTGATTCTATATGAATAAATCATTTTATCTATAAATTATGTATATAAGCATGTACATTTATTGACAAAAGAAACGAACTAATCATTCGCGACTTTATTTATATTTCTTATTATCTTATATGAACAGATATAAAAAGAACATAGAGAGATCATAGTCTGTCAATAAGCAGTAAATTTTTTTCAGATAATTATAGTTTCATTTGTATAAAGACAATGTCGAGATAAAAAACATTAAAAATTTACAAATGATTAGTTTCTTAACTTTTTTTCATTTTCATTATTATCCAAAAATTTTGAAAGTCTTAAAACAAATTAGAGAATTGAAAATCATAATAAGTCCATTATAAAATAGGACTATATTATAATTTTACATTATTTTAATACATTAACATAAATAATTTCCAAAGTTAATCTAACATTAAAATAAATATAAAAAGATATAAAGAAAACTATTATTTTCTAAAATATTAATTTAATTTAACTCAGTTTAAGTACGAATTTCTTCAAGTAATTTCTACATGACTTGACACATGACACTTTCTTCAATTTTCTCTGAATACCAAAGTTCTGTTGTATGACTTGTATTGAGGTGTGAAAAAGTCTTATTTTCTTCGAGCAAAAGTTTTTCTTCATCCTCATCCTCGTGTTTCCTTGGCAACACGAAATACTTCTTTTATGCTTTCGTTCATATTGAGCCTCAATCGATGTTTAAACCATGAATTCATCAAATAGCAACATCGTTGATTTTGTCTCGAGTTGATCGTTTCTTTTCTCATTTCCCAACGTCCGATGCATTCATGGAACAAAGGTACGTGTTCATCCCATTCTCTGATGTATCATTCTCGCTATTTTCTTACAGATAGAAGTAAAACTCAATACGTGCACACGAAATATATTATAAATATTCACGTCACACAATCATAAAAAATGATTTTCTAGATTTAAAAAGTATTTGGATTATACAAATTGTTAAATCTGAGAATATATTAGAAAAAATATGTATTTGATTGAAAAATTAGTTAAAACAAGAAGAAGAAACAATCTGAAAGAAAAATTTGATTTGTTTTAGTATAGTATTATTTTTAATAAAAATACATAATAATTTTTTAAGAAAAAAGCAGTGTAAAAACAAAACTGTGATTGAACATAGTTAATAACTTCAATGCTAACACAGATAAAAGCAATTATTCGTGAATATGGAAACGAAAATTCATTCAAAATATTGAATACGAAATATTTTAAAAAATAATTTCTTTGTGAATTTATAACGAATATTTTTTCCGGAATTTCTGTCAAATTCTTTTCCATTATCATTCTGTCTTTTCAGTCTGTCCTACTTTGTAATTGTACAATTAAATTTCTTTTCTTTGTATTTTCTTCATATCTGTTTTATCATAGCATTCTACATTTCAGAAATTGCGATAATTTTTATTTTAATTATTTAAAATATTTTTCCATATATTTCTAAGATCAATTGTTACATATCTTGTAAAATATTTCATGTATGTAAATGAATAGCTGGTAGATTTCAAATCGGATAACTCGAATAAAGCTTAATTTTCATCTTTCCTCTTTCCTCTTTCTTCTTACTTCTTATCTTCTTTCTGTTTCCAGTGATCGAGAGGATTCCATAGAAAAGTTGCGTAGAAGGAATGAAATACCGATTCCCATGGCTAGGAGGTGGAAAAGAGATGTGGATGAGGAGGAGAAGTTGGAGCAGATCCGATTGATGGAGTCTGCTCCGACAAATTGATAAAGAAGGAAAAGAAGTGTATAGAGCGTTTTGTTCTTTCGAACTTTTACAACGCTTGGGACAATGGGGATCGGTGGTAAGTTGTTAGTTAACTTGGTGAAGTTTTAACGTGTAATTTGGGAAAGTATTAGTTTAAAGAATTTTAGAAAAAGGAAGAAAAATTGAAAAATAAAAAATTATAATAAAGGAAATTATTATATAGGAATTAAAAAAGTATCAAAAATAAATATTAAAAACAGATGGAGTATACATAAACGTTCTTTTGAAAAAAAAAAGGATTAATAATCGTATATTCCACGTGAAAATAGTGAGTATCTTACAGACGAATAACTATGAATTATTTCATTTCATATTCTGATTGAGTAATTTAACCTATTTAATAATTTATACACATTCATATTTTATTATTATATCTCATTCTATCAAATAATATATTTAATTCGTTACGATTATTTTTTCATTGTCATTTTATATATATAGCAATGAAAATAATAATAATATCAGAACAAAATAATGAGAAATATGATGCAATTAATAGTTATCGTATTTAAATTATATTATTTTGTTGTAAACAAAATAATGAATTCCTGGAATGGAAAAATGGGATTGAATAATGCATTACTTATGTATTCACATTTAAATCGTTTTGCATCATAAAATGCAAAACAAACAAGAGAATAAGGTGGATAGAATCGAAAGAAAGAGATGGAAAAATGGAAGGCAAGCGTCTTCCACCGCTAGTCGATATCCGCTTGGCGATCTAGTATCATGAAACCAGAAGATCGCTGATTTTCAAAACGAATAATCCGCAAATAACTTAAAAAATTAATCGGTATTTAACGATATCCAATATCTCATAAATATTTATAATAATGATCGAGTGTGAGAATAATTTGAAAATTTTTTTATTTTAAAAAATTGTTGATTTTCGATCGATAATAATATCTCATAAATTTTTATAACAATTGTACGTGCGAGAATAATTTAAATTTTTAATTTTACAATATAACGCATTGATAATGCTGACAATGCACAATGTACAATGATTATTCTAAAAAGGAAAAATTTGTGGAAGAATTAAAATCATAATATAAACAAACATAATATAGTTTTTATCATTGCAATGACTGTTTCAAATAACTACGATGTAAACTTCTTTTCTATGTTAATTAAACGCGTGACCAAGTGAAAAAGTGAAGGACAAAAAAAAGATGAGATAGAAAATGAATAAATTAATGAGTCGTGTAGTGTCAATGTGATTGTGAAGTATAATTGTTACAATAATATTACACATAGCAGAAACGTAATATTTTCTTTGCAGAATTTTAACAATTTTAAATAAGTCAGGAATAAATTTGTTTTATATTACGCGACTACAAGATTAATGACGTAAAAAATAATTGAAACAAATTTATTTTTTACTGAAAACTTTATTATATTTAAAATGAAAAGAAATTTTAACGAATTTAAAATGTAAAATATTTTAACTAATGTTTTATTATTGAGTGTTTCAATAAAAAATATATTTGTTTTTAAAAGATAAAAAAATTCTTACTTAATAGATTCTTGTAAAAAAATATGCCAATCATCGCGTTGTGACAGTGCAGTGTGGTGATAAATAATAGTGATTATATATAATAAGAAGACTTTCATTAAGAAGATCTTATTCACTCCTCTTGATTTCTTCTTTTAGTTCCACTAATAACACTCTTACTATTTTTTTTTCCTTTAAAATTATATGATATTTATTCATAAATATGGAAATATAATTAAAATCGAGAATATTAAAATGGAACATAAAAATTCTATTCTTTTCAAGATCAATCAAACAATAATTAAACGTTTGAATAAATGAGATTGAAATTAATAGAAAAAAAAGAAGAAATGAATATAATGAATCAAAAACTTTCTACATCGAAGAAAATGGATAGTAAGTTTATACAAAGTTAATATGAATTATAGATACACAGGAAATCGAGATTAGAATTATATATAATTCTGATTGACAGTATAATATGCTTTTAATGGCATAATATGTTTTTACAAACAATTAATATATTACTAATAATGAAATATTCTTTAATTTTAGTTTCTATGGAATCTAAATCAAGAGAGAGAAAGAGAAAGAGAATACAGGCATGATCATTGAATAATTTCCATTGTGTCTAATTAATATTATATATCAATATATTATAAATATTGATAAATAAGATATGAAAGGTATAATAAATAATAATATACTTCTACAGATTATGAATAAGAATTAATATGCGATAGAAAAATTATATTACACAAAATTAAATAATTCGTTGAAAATATGATTAAATAAAATAATTTTTTTATAACGGAATCATAATTGACATCGTTCAACGAAAAATTATTTTACTATGTTTAATGAGATAATTTATGAAACAAATAATCGACCTCGCATAATTTCAATCGATAATGATATAAATGATAAACGTATAATTTACATATGTTTCCTGTTATTTATTTCTCTTTTTTTTTTGCATTTTAAAATGAAGGATATTGCGTTAACTCTTTTAAAAATTAATCTTAATTAATTATGCGTATTTTCTTTCGTTCAATTATTCTCAAAACAAAACATAAGAAATAAAAAATTGTTACACATTACAAAATTTTAAACCAAACTATGTTAAAGACGAAAGTTAAAACATTTATTTATTAATCATTTATTAAATTCTTATTATTATTTATCATTAATCGTAACAGAAGATCTAAATTACATTTCAATCATAATAATAATCCTTGTAACTATGTTAAAGAGAGAAAAGAGAATAAAAGAAAAGATAAAACGAGGAAATTTTATCTAGTTAGATCTAATTTTTTATTCAATTCTTTCTATAGTGTTTATTTGAATATTGATGTATACTCAATTATACATGTATATATAGTTAAATTAATATGATAAAAATATTTATCCAATATCACATCTTTCAAAACTCTAGAAAAAATGAAAATTAAGAAATCCTATTTTTTTTCTTTATTTCTAAATTTCTAATCTAAATATTCTGTACAATTATATCCATACTTACATATTTTTGATATAAATAATTCATTTCACAGATTTTAACTACGACGTTTGCTTCTTAATAAGAAGTATAAAGGGATTGAAAGAAACAAGAAATACTCTAATTACAAGTCAATGTCAAAGATAAAATTATTCGATGTAAATCAAAGAGCCGAGGAATACGCTTAATAAATAAAATGAAAATGCGTTTGAGACAGTGGAATAGAGACAGTCCTTGAACAAATGGAGGAATGAAGTGATACGCATGTTCAACGAATGCAAAAAACTAGTGAAATAGCAACGAGACTTTATTATAACATTTCCCAACTGAATCTTGCCAATTTAATGCGAGTCCACTCTCTGCTCATCCTGCAATTTTTTTTGCTGAAACGTGGAAACGTGAAAAATCCACCATTTTTTTTTTTTTTTTGAAAACAAAGAGAATCGAAGGTAAGTCTATGTTGGCGAATTTTTTTCCCCCCTTTTTTTCCTTTTTTTTTCTTTTCTTTTTTATGGAAATATTTTACGACTGACCAGAAATGAAGGAACAAAAAATTTATAAGATTCATGAATACGTACACTAGAATAAATTATTTTTCACGATTTCAGAATTATAACGCATCGTGTTTTTAAATATTGAACATTGGCGTTTCGAGATTACGTGCGTTTTACATTAAAAGATATTTTTCCCTGAAGTTTACGATATATTTTTTTCATTGTGATCTCGATATTAGAAAAATTTGTATCTTTCCATACAGAAATTAGAAATATTAAAATTTTTTTAGTATCTCTTTATTTTTCCAATAAAATTTAATTAAATCATGTAAAATTTAAATCCATCTTCGTTTTTACATCTGACTCGATCATTGCCCGATCAATTTTAACAAAATTCGAAGATCGTCCATGTATATCCGATTCATGAATATTTGCTATCGCAATAATATCGATTATTCGATATTAATTAATTTTCGATTCACCAGATTTTCAATTACATCGACGTTAATTCTTGATGACAGATTATTCAAAAATGTGTATACAAATTTTTATCAAATACTGCCTACATTTTTTTAAATTATCCATTATATAAACCAAATTGGAAAATACCCTCCAACATAATAATAATATCTTTTAGCATGAAAAAATCATTCATCGAATCTCATTGTTCGCAGATACAATGAAGAATAACAATACGAGGAGGGATAGAACGAAAAATCATCAAAAATGACGATACCAAACAATTATACCACGTACATGTTACCAGCTTGCGATAATTTGACCAACTTCTTCAATCACTCTCGTGATCTAACTCTTGACTCGAGATTATGGAACACGAGCGAGTTGAGCCATCCCTTTCATTCCTACAATTTAAAGAACATAACGTGTTTGGAACACGCGCCATACTCAAACAGCAACACTTTCTTTAAATCTCTCATGTTGACCATCATAGCGGTCACCAGCATATTGGCCAACCTGGCCACCATATACTCGATTATCAGGTGTCGACGAAGACACCACTCCTGGTCGGCGATTTACACGTTGATCCTGCACCTAGCTGTAGCTGATCTCTTCGTATCCGTGTTCTGCATAGGCGGGGAAGCGATGTGGAATTACACCGTGGAATGGATATGGGGAAACGTTGCATGCAAATTGTTCAAATTCTTGCAGGTGTTCAGCCTGTATCTGAGCACGTTCGTGTTGGTACTGATAGGTGTGGACAGATTCTTTGCCATAAGATATCCTATGAAAGGGATGAACACCGCTGACAGATGTTTGAAGTTCATCATCGTTGTGTGGATACTATCCTTTGTACTGTCACTGCCTCAGGTAAGCAACATTGCAATATTTTATAGTTTGCAAAAGTGAAAGTTAAAGATTTAAAATGGAAAATAAAATAATTAAAAATAGGAACAATTATAAGGAACTAAATTAAAAGGGATAAATTACTTTATTGCCATCTATCCGTTTGATCATTGAACATTCACTTTTGATCAATTAAATAATAATAATTATAATTATTCAGTTAGGAAACTCGCCTAAATGAAGAAATTTAAATTTAATTGTAGTATAATTGATTGATAAGGTACATCTACAAGTTAGATTACACGTTTCAACTCTTAAAACGATTGGAGAAACTTCAGTCTCTGAAAATTATCAAGGGTAAATAAGGAATATAGTTAGAATTCCTTAGATTAATAGAGAATTTTTAATCAGGAAAGAGAAACGAGTTAACAAGTTATTGAACTTATTTAATTATCTAGAAAGATTAATATAAGATGTAACATAATATAAAGAATTAACTGTATTTGTTCAATATTTTTATTTTTTATTTATTTTTTTTATATTATTTAAAATTAATGTAAAATTAATCAAACTGTTTTGTTTTAAATGGCGAATGGTGATCGTTTTGAATTGCTCTTGATATTCATTATTCGTTCAAATTCACAATATGATTTAATAAATGAACATTGTGTTATGTGATACGTAATTATCATTAAGAGGATCAAATTTCGTTGTTGAAACAATTTGACAATTGCGTATTTTAGATTAAAAACGATATAAAACATCTATGAAAATATATATATTTCATTTAATGAACTATCGAACCAATTTACATAAATAATACCAGTTGAGATATAATGAGATAATTAGTATTATGTCGCATAAATCATAACAAGCAGAAAAAGCAACGCAATATAAATATTCAAGACATTAAAAAAGTATATAATTTTTTTTTATTCCTAATTTCTCGAACAAAAAGTAATATATGATCGACTATATTAATTATTACAACGTATTTCTAACATTTTCCAATATCCTTAATAATTTTATTTTTTATAATTTAAATTTCATTACGTGTTTTCGAATAATATTCTTATTCGAAATTCTATCACTGTTTTAGAGCGAAGAAAAGTTGATAGAGTATCCTGTCGTTCCTAAATTTCTAATTCATCAATCGCTGCGCGATACGAAATCGAGCAAACTTTTCGACGAAATTTGTCCGCTCCAAACGAGTTAAAAGTTCGATCAGTGAAACCGATCAAGTGGCTGATTCGCAATTAAAAAGTAATTTACAGCAGCTGACATTCGGTTGCCGATAAAACTTTTCAACAAATGTGCGAAAGAAGAAAGTAAAGAAATCGCTTATTTTTCTCTTTCTCTCTCTTTCTCTCTCTCTCTCTCTCTCTCTCTCTCTCTCTCTCTCTCT